TGAGCATACCTAAGTTCCGGGTACTAACAAAAATTTACAAGACCATGTAATGGACATTAATTTAGCACTAACAAGTACTACTAAGTGGCAAGAGGAATATGCTAATTTCAAGTGGGGACAGCTTTCATGAGCTTTCGAGCATTCCACGTAATTACAACACTCTCCTTGTCCAACTGCTCATGCTTTTCAATGTCGGCGGTCATGTCCTCCGACTCCATCTTGAGAAGGTATTCCAAGATTTAGATGGTACCATACATAACTACTTCAGCATCCGGTCACATTCTCCTTGGGACAAGTGACAAGCTGGGCAACACGAGCTAGAATAACGTATTTGGCTTAGTGGTGCAGTGCCATTTGAAGACATAGATGAATGCCAACTTAGTAGGTAGGGCCACATAAGTTGGATATATGAAAATGAACCAGTTTGGTCGGGTAGGTTTCAAGGTAGGACCCATAGCCCTGAATCTGACAAGGGATGACATGCGAATTTTCGTTGTGCGGCTGGGAGACGCACCCTAAATGAGAGACGCTGAGTTGTTTGACAACTGCTTTCTCAAGACGTGTGTTCTGGTATCGCGGATCCTCAAAGACGAACCTGGCATACGAGAATTCGTTTGTGCGGCAGAGATCTCAATCGTGGACTACGCGTAGTGCCAAAAGATGCAGTGAAGTGGCTAGATATTGGGCAGGCCGCACCACCGTTCTTCAAAATGTGTGGTGTTTTCCTCGCCCACTTGAATGTTTCGCAAGCAGATATGGCACAGGGCATGAAATCGTGCACGAAAAATTTGATCGATATGGTTGGGATTTGAATTCCAAAATATGTACGTAATCTTATATGTACTTCAAGCTGTGCTTCAAGCTGTGGTTGTGTCATTTGCGTTGTCCTTGTCAGCTTCTATCCGGATTTAGTGAGTGTTTCTGAATAATTATGGTGAACTAGTACGAGAACGTACGTACTTCTCTCGAACTACGTGCACTTTGGCACGTATTTGGAATGGTCCGTGTTCTGTTCAGTATCAGATTTCGTTTCTTTTGTGTATTTTGACAGCCTGTAAAATAGAAGCAAATATAGTTCCTGTGCTGTGTTTGAAATACTGAATCATAATCTCGGGTATAATTTCCTTCAAAGGTGACTGTTTTACTTCATTCATGCAGCCCAACTTCGCAAACAAATCAACGGCCTTTATTTCCGGTACGTATACCTCGGTACGGAGAACAAGGTTGGAGCCGAGTGGGAAACATCTACGAATGAGCGCTATTTTGCTGTTTATGAAAGAGTGGCATAACTGCGAGTCTAGTTTTGCCGGAATGAGCAGTGCTAGGAACAGGCAACTACCTGCCACTGGTAAGTACAAAAGCAAAACAGTCCATATTTGTTGGTGCTATGCAGGAGAGAGCAGTACCAGTACAATACTTCATTGCAATTGCTAGGCGAGGTACATAGGTTGGAGAGCAGAGATAACATATGAAAAGCTAATTACCTACGATTTACATGCCAAAGCTTTAGATTACGTACTATTTGTGGAAGAAACGAACAAGCCAGGGATGAAGGACGTTAGCATTTCTGTTTTATGTGAAAAAAGTTTGCAACCCGGTTATGCTGGCTGACTAGGAGGATCAGTCCAGAAAAGTCCTTAGTTTTAGTCACTGATATAATGGCGCAAACGGCTCTTATGAGACATTAGGATGTCATGGTTTCGTTCACCTTATATTGCGATCAGATAAAGAGCCGGGCGTGGTTGCAGATGCTTGAGGGGATTTTCAACCGATCGGCAGTTTTTACTCCTGAAAACTACCACCTATACAGCATGGTGCATTGATTCATGTCGCACGTGATCAAAATGCGGCATGAGGAAGGCGGAAGCAACCCCCATATCCAATAACTCTCAAACATGTATTATCACCATGACCTTAAATATGGCTTTTAGCTAATAGAGTTTCTGATAAAGACACAAATAATTGAACTCGCCTAAATTCTGCAGTCCTGATAATGAGAAGTGGACAATAAGTCGCACGGCTTAGCGTTATTTTTATCGATTGGCTTGAAAAACGGTAACTTCATAAGACAGCACCATTCCCATACAAGAAGAGGTCTTGAATAGCGACTTCTCCTCGGAAACGTGTATTCGAATTGCTTTGGGGGAAGGTTCTGAATTTGACTTAAAGTTGACTGACGGCAATGTTTTTTCATAGACTTGAATTAGTGAGCACCTAAGCGTCATTGAAAATTTTACGTAAACAGGTCCTTTGAGATATACGAACTGGTCATGCTGTTAAATCTCTCTTTAAGTCAACCAGTGAAATTTTCAGAAAAACGTGAGGAAAATTCACATGAATAAAACATTTTCAAAAGTACAACCGCATCACTCGAAAACTTGCATCTTTAAATCCATCATTTATCTGGAGGTCATACAATCTCTCACTGTTGTGGTAAGTGAATCGCCAACGTCAGGGGAGGAAAATTTGGACACATTGGATGACCTAAATCACACCGAACCCATTCGATATAGCCCACCTACACCAAAAGAAAGTGGCGACAGATCAAGGAGTTGCAAGTGTGGGTGAAAAATCGTTTAAATAGTTATGAAAACTTCGGAATCATGTACAGAACCAAAAGGAGTCAAAGAATTAGCAATGTGATTGAGGTCACAGCAGTTTAGATTAGAGCATATCTTGAATGGCCATATAAAGACTGTCCACACGGATGAACACACGGAATATGAAACCCAGAAACACACGTGCGAGCTGCGCGGGAGGCGATTTGTATACCGAAAAGATAAAGACACAAATAATTGAACTCGCCTAAATTCTGCAAAATTCCAACTCTGTGACCCAATCAGAATACCACTGGATCAGGCTACGAACATTCTGATCTTCAGATCTTGGATGTGTCTCACGTACGTGCCAAACGCCATGCGAACTAAAAGGAATTATCATTAAAGACATACCAAGATTCACTTCTCTCACGAGTTTAAACAGATCTGGGTATATCCGCCAGTCTTTATGTTAAGGACCTAATTTAATCACCAAAAGCGTTCATCCGCTACGGAAGGCTTTGTGATTTCGGGTCTATGCTGAGTCTAAATATGACCGCTCACTTTTCGCAACAGGTGCAACCATCGCATGGTTTGATTGTGTTGAGATGTGCCCACCACCGACGGTGCAGCGCGCAGAACAGCTCATCTGGTGGGAGGTGGAATATTTTACAAAGCTTGTAGCTCTCGAGATTCGGAACGGAACCACGTAAACCCATCAAAATTCTGCCCAGATACAAACATTTTTGGATCAGTTTGTGCTCCATTTTCAGCTTGAGGTGGCTCGGTGGTTAAGGCGGGAAAGAGCACCTGTGGTTTCAATCCAGCCTCTTCATCGCAGACTCTCCCATTTAGGCTTTGGTACCTGGCAGTATCTCGGACCTGCTGTTTCTTTTGAGGGAAATGGCAGTTACACATCACAGTGTTACAGCTGGACAGTATTTTGTACTAGTGACTACCTATCCTGAGGCATGGGGACACAAATGTGGTCGAATCCGCTGAAGCTTTGTCATACACTGACTTTCGTCTTCACCGAGGTTCGAGAGAAAGAAGGGCGAGTAACTGATGTTTCAAGTGACTGAAAGGAATCCCGACGATTTATCGAATCGGATTTCATGAGCTAACCCATTTTCAATCAAGCTGTCGACTAATTCAGGCAGTCACCGTATTTCTAGTGACTGATGTGACTGATATGACGATTGTCGGGTTGGATGCCGACTGTTCGCTTGTCACTCTGTATGCTAAAATGCAGAATAAGGTCCAAACAAGCTCTCACTACAGGACACAGAATAATCACAGGTAACCCCCATAAATACGGTCACATGAAACTTGGCTAGGAGTGATGATTAGCTTTCTTGTATTCACGAGACGAAACCTTCTCCCAAGTTATATTATCTGCGCAAGGCTGTAGATGTCAACCGGATTACACAGGAATTCGACCGATTGAACTTAACCTATCGAGATGCGACAGCGTTAGTTACTCACAGCCTGAATGTGACACAGTAGGTTAGAACGTTTGAACGTTTGTGGTGAATGTAAGAACTTGCGCTTCACCGAATGCACCAGTTACGAAGAAACTTCCTGGCAAGCATTCCCACTGTGGAGTACTTAGCTGACGCCAGTTTTTTCAGTAAGATAAAGCGTAGGTGTATTTATGTGAAGATGACTAAATGACAAACGTTTGCCATGCAACGAACCACAGTTTAGCTTAGTATAGTTCGTCTGTTCCGTAGGGCTAATTAACCTTCATTTCATGCACCCAATTAACCTAGCAATGACGATGGCACCCCGATTGGTGACAAAACGTTTGCAATTTAGTTGTCACGCTCGATGAATAGACCAACAAACGACGTTACCTACATTGCGCAAACCACTGTTGCATTCAACGAAGTCCATCGTTTTACCTCCTTGTTCCCCACGAGGTGTTGTTGCACCCTGAACCTTAATTCTTTAAATTTGTCAATGCAGTGGATCATTATTTGGATAACTATGCACCAGTTGGTGAATAATCTCCATATTGTTTTCCCAGTAATATGTTCTCACCGTTACAATTGTTATACTAAAGCTTTTAGTGGTCGGGCTTCGCTCATCTCACATATGGGGGCGCACGAAATCTCTCGAAATGGCCCTAAAATGTTTCCAATCCCTTTAGCAAACTGAGAAAACAAACCAATGATATGATTACGGTGATTTCCGATCACTCATTGAGGCTTCAGCTACTTTCAAGATTCATCATACTGGTGTATACATGATCGCTCTTGTGGTCGACACCTGCTGCTGAATTCGAGATCACACTGAGGAGTGTGCAGACCAGCAACTCTATCAGACCTTGCTGTCATATACTTAAACGGTGCATTTTTCTCTCTCATTCACTATATTATACTATGCTGTACTGTACTATATATTATGTTATACTATGCTATACTGTGTATAACGTGCTATACTGTGATATACCATGCAATGCTATGCAGCGTTATACCGTACTCTTTCGCACTCTAGCATGCAGTACTCAACCATTCTGTATGATATCATATTGCATGATGTTATACCACCGCTCCTTCCACACTACTGAAATCAGAATGAATTCGTGTTCATTGTTAACATGTAGGCAAATGATGTTTATCTCGAGAAAGATGGGTCCTTGTGTGACAAATTATCTTTTACTCGTGAAGCTTTTCACCCTTATTAGGAGGTTGATTATGCCTAACAGAAAATGAGAATATTCTTGCTTCCAGTCACACAAGGTTAACGAGAAAGAACGTAAAAGTGAAACAGCACCATGTACATTCCTGTCTGATACGTTTCAATTTCAAGGTCCAACTTGAAGACGTACCCCGTAAACACCTGTGCAAACGCTGCTAAGTGCACTAGTAGCCTCTTCGAAAACCCAATAGGACCAGCAAAATCATTCATTTGTGATTTTTAGAATATTGAGGTAGCCAAGTTAGACTACTGCACCGTAAAGTGACAAATTCGCTCTGATTTATTTGGTGTCGTACTTACAATGACCTGGTAGGTTAAGTGTGATTGTAGATATTTCAGGCTATCTGACACATCTGCGGCCCCAATCTTTATTACATCTTTGATAATTGAGGCGAAAATGAAGTTTAGGTGTTATGGATTACTGAATGTAATAGACAAAGACCGTTAACTATTTGCAACAAAGTAGTTTAATTCGGAGTTTTGAAAATACTACTGTTGTTGTTGTGTACTACACAAATTAGGTGAACAAACCAGTTCACATCTCCGGATCAAACACGACTCGTTTTGGTGACGCTTACTAGCATTTCCTGTGTTGGACGAGTTTCCACATTGAACGTGCGGCGTTACACTTATGTCCGACAGAACTGACAGGCACTAAGAAAGAACTCCAAGCAACATATTCGAA